TCACTGATCTTTTGGTATAGGAAATATGCAAAAGCCCTTCATTCAAAATAATGCCTAGTGATGATTAGGGGTGGCCTGAGGAACACTGGAAGTGATAGGAAATAAAAAAGTTTTTTGTGGTAAACTTTGAGCTTGTCAACTCTCTGTAAAATGTATTTTTAAAGATTTTGAATAATAAAATTTACTCAGTACTAATATTTGCTGGAATTTAGTTGAAATTCTCTTTGGCTATAAGGTATATATTTGAGAATGTTACAATATCGCAGGATCAGCACAAGGGTGCCTTAGTTATCACTGCTCCACCTCACTGGAGATGTGTTTATTGGCAATGTTTGGGTTGGCAAGACAGAGGTACTAGATTTTCCTCCAGAATGACTGAAAAGTCTCCCCATCACAACTGGAAAAGCAGGCAAGCTGAGATTACTGTTATTTTATTATTTTAAAATTTACTTTTAATTTACATTTAATCATTATATATCTCTACAGTGTACAACATTGCTTTTTTCAGCATGAATATACTGCATATCAGTCAAGACAAAGACATTACCATATACATTGTCATTTGCAAATAACTTTTCATTTTTGTGTCAATTAAGCATAGTTTTCCCCTGTTCCCCTGCTCCCCTCCCTCCTTCTATTACCCACCTCTGTATTGCCTCTACCCTTACTATTTCTAGCATCTACTGCTCTCCCTGCTAATATACCTTTAGAGTGCAGACATTCGGTATATATCGAGTGTGGACATACAAAGTCTGTCTTTTGTAGTCTGGCTTGCTTCACTTAGCATTAAGTCTTCCATATTCATCCACTTTATATCAAATGTCAGAGTCTCATTTTTTTATGGCTGAATAATATTGCATAGAGTACATTTGCCACATTTTTTTGATCCACTCATCTATTTTTAGACATTTAGGTTGATTCTATGCAAGTTGAGGTTATTTCTATAATAAATACTCAGTGCAAAAGTATCAATTTAAGTCAATGAAAATTTGATTTGATCCTAAAACTGCCACTTAGCAGCTGTATGACTTTGGCCTTGGGCAAAGCCCTTACTCTTTATGAACATCGTTTTTGTCATTTATAAAATAGTTTCCAGATTTGCATAGCTATATGAAGATCAAAATAAGATATGATGCATGTAAGTATAAGAAACACAGTAGGTTCCTTCCACTTTTGAGACCTATTCAAAAGTCTATTTTAATGCCCATAAGGGTGAGCCAAACAAGAATTTTTCCTCTTTATCATCATTTAGCAAAATCAAGCCTGTAGAAGATCATGCTGGTAGTTTCCCCCTTATAGTTGCTTGGGATCTGGGAGACCATTGGGAAGGACCTTGGTCCTCATGCTCCATTGCCTTCCCAATTGTGTTTAAATGTCCTACTTGTTTACTGCAGAACTGCACAGTCTTTAGTCTGCTTTAATATTAAATAATGTTCTCTGCTGCACTTTATAATGTACTGGAAATCTGCCTCTTAAAGATTTAAGTCCACATCTCTTCTCACATTTGTTAAATGTAAATAGAATAAGTGATTAAAGGTTTCTTTGCAGTAGCACTTACCTGCAATGAATTCTGGTTATCTGATAAATTGGAATCTCAAGAAAAGCATTTCAGTTTTTATTTACATGGGGATAAATATTTGTGAAAAGATAGGTGTTTCAGCATTTAAAAACAAAAATAATGTCTCAATTTTTCTTTTCTTCCCAGTAAAACAAGAATTAAACATAGATTCTAAAGAGGAAGAAGACCCTTAGAATTGTGTCTTAACTTACTGAATGTCTACTGTGGGACAGGAACATGTAGGTACTGAGTATATCGAAGAACAAAAGAGACAAAGCCTTTTGGGAGCTTACATTCTAATGGAGGCAAGCTAATATTTAAAATACTGTATAGTATATTAGTATTAGGGGATACGTTTTATGGAGAAAAACAGAATAGAGAAGGGAGATTTGGAGTATGGTAGTTTACAATGTAAGAAAGTCAGTCAGGGAAGGTGACATTTAAGGAAAGACTTAAAAAGATATTTATACCACTTTAATTACCTACTTATTAATTCAATATACTTTCATTTTGACAAACATGGCAGGCAGAGTTTAAAAACAATAATTTTTGGCCCACTGTGACTTGGTATCATCAGTCTGCCTCCTAGGAATTTGACAAGCAATGCTCACTGATGGAAGAACTGCTTTCACCGCCTCAGGAAGCAGCACACTCACCTACTGGGTATGAATCATCCATGGAGAAAATCAGAGACATTCAGGAGCACGTCCAGAATCACAAGATGGCCTAGAGAGAGAGAGAGGTTGGAAAAAAAGACTTCATATTTTGTTCTAGGTATAGAATATTTTCCACTTAACACAATGGTGTTAACAGTCTTCCAGGGTGGATATCCGAATAAACCCTTGTTGGGGGAGTATGTGTGTGGCAGGTGACAATGCTACACTCTGATAGGGGTCCAAGCTTTCTATTCAAAGCATTAAATTTGAATGGTGGCATTGGGGACTTCTGAGAGAAGGTGTAGATGTTGATATTGGGGTTTCTTTAAGTCAAAGAGGTGCATTTGTCTTCTCCCTCTTCCCATGTTAACGTTTCCTATATAGGAATATGTTTTCTAATAGATGCAGCCATTAAATATACTGGTTCTTTTGTTTTTCCTCCAAAATTATTAATAAATTGATGCTATACCTTATAATCAGCATGAACCTCGCATGGAGTGAGTGCTAACAGGAAAGAGAAAGAGAATTTGAGGACGTTGAATGCTACCCAAGGAAGAAAAGGCTACAGATGTGGAAAATAACTGAATGTTAAGTTAATAAGTTGGTCCTATGTCTTATCATCAGCAAAATGTTGAAAGAAAGGAATACTTTGTTATGAGAGGCATGAAATTTCTTACATATCCCAGAAATTAACTACTCTGCCTTGAAATTAGAGGCTAATGGGAATCCCACAGACATTATTGTCTCTGCACAGAGTTTAATTAAGATAAGCACTACTCATTGACTCTTTAGCTACAAGCTTTTAGTATTTAACCTTGGGACATCATTGATGTAATGATAGTGTTTTGAACCAGTATTCACCTGCTTTGAACAAGTTGTTTATGTGTCTTGTGGATTGATTATTAACACGTAAGTGGTGTTAATATTAAAATATAAAGCAGTCAAGGTTCTGAAAGTCAAATAGAGTTATGATTTTCTGCTGAGACAATGCAACCTGGTATATAATTAGAAGATGAGGAGGTCTTCAAAAAGTTTGAGGGATCTAAATATTATTAAAAAAAAACCCCACTGTGTGTGGATTTCAAAACTTTTGCACCAATACGATCTTGTTTATTAATTACATTTTCCATGAACTTTTGGAAGTCCTTTGTACTTCATGCTGAAAATATTTAAAAGCATAGAGTAGGATGAGATAGTAAAGACCTAGTTTCTGTTAATACTGATCATATCGACTCTACAAATAGGAAGAATTAAAGCAACAGGACCTAGACAGCTCTGAATAGGGATTTCTTGTAAGTGAAAGTGTATCAGCTTTTTGAGGCCTAAGTCAATCCATGGGGCAAAGTAGGGAGTAAAGACGTATTCAGACTAAAAAAATAATTGTACATTTACTGAGTTATTCAGAGGTCAAAAGTGAAAATGTTCCTGTCTTTGGGCACTATGATTTTAGTTTTCTTCTCTTCTTTAATTGATGATTCCCATTTTTTCTACAATGGATACTACTTATTTAGACATAGGGACTAGGGCTTTAGACTCTGTCTTCGAGGTACTGGTCAACTGCAACAGCTCACAGATGCCTACAGACACACACACACACACACACACACACACACACACACACACACAGATTTCTGTAAATATATGGGGATAGAGGTTCCTGGCTTTGTGTCCCAAGGTCTCCCTGCACACACCAGGCTGGTTGCCTGCATGTCCATGATCCTGAATGGCTGAGCCTGAGGGTGGATTAAGACATGAAGACCCTGTTGGGAGTGTCCTCCCCTAACTCAGAAGACATACACTTTAAAAAAGGTCAGAACTGCGGAGTGAAAAGTGAGTACAAAGTGAATAGTCTGGGAGGCTGTTTCTACAGGAGTAGAAGCACTAGCTCAGGAGTAGTTGGGATGGAGGGACAGGAAAGTTGGGATAGTGGGACTGGAAAAGCTCCACCGAGTAAAGGAGACATTAACCACATCATGTAGAATAGATAGGCATTGGTGGGAATAGAGAGACCACTGAGGAAAGAGAAGAATGAACAAAATGGAGAAGTTGTCTTCCAAAAGGTTTGATGAAGTTTCTCCAAAACCATCAACAGAGTCTACTGAGAGCAAAACCAGACATCACTGACCCGATTTTCACCTCCCTTCACTCATTTGTCCTACTCCTAACTCCAGCATAGCCTCTGGGTACAAGTATAAGAACTTATCCCTCATAGGACATGAAGGACAGAGGGAGAAGATAAAGTTAAGAGCTAAAATTATTGATAAATCCAGAATCCTACAATCAAGAGATATTGAACTATTATGGCTCTACTGTGAGCACAAATAATAGCCAATGAGGGAGACATTATCTTTCATTTTACAGGTCAGGAAAAAGAGCATCAGGAAGTCTGATATTTACAGACTCCTAATAATCTTGTAAGGTCTTATTATCCTTGTGTTCCAGGTGAAGCTCAGAGTTAAATGATTCGTCAAAAATATCACAGCTCACTGGTGGTGAGCCAGAACTTGAGCAAAGGTCTCAGGATCCTGATTCTTTGCTCCTTTTCCTCCACACCCACTGCTGCAACAACCACAAGTGTACACCCTCCACCTTCCCTTACTCAGGAGAAAGACACCAGTGAGGGCTGTGCTTGCATTTTATAGTTTCCATCTCACTAACTGAAAATGCTGAAGTGGTCAACTTTTATCATGTCCATGTTTTCCAGTAATGTTTAACTTTATGTTAAAAAAATCTAGGTGATAAAAAAGCAGGTTATCTAGCAAGTCCATCTCATCCCTAGTCATTATCAGTGTCAGCACATATCTAAATTCCTTCTTCCTGGCATTTGCTTCAGGAGAGAAACAGCTCTTGGCCAAGGTCACATTTCAAGTTGCCATCTATTTATACCAATACTATTACCAGATTCTTCTTGACAATCATCTTTTGAGATCTTCTCTGAGCACAACTTGGTGTTTGGAGATCCACATGGTGCCTCTGGTCAGCATTCTCTTCAGGGAATCACATTGCACCCTCCTCTCCACAAAGCATCTGCTAGACTAAACTGCTTTTGGAAACATCTTCTCCCTGACAACTGTTGGAAATCAACTCTGGTGTCATACTTCCCAGTATGGAGGTGAAGAACTTTGCAGTTTGGGATTATGTTGTATTTGCAGCTCTCTTTGTCATTTCCTCAGGAATTGGGGTGTTCTTTGCTATTAAGGAGAGAAAAAAGGCAACTTCCCGGGAGTTCCTTGTAGGCGGAAGGCAAATGAGCTTCGGTCCTGTAGCCTTATCTCTGACAGCCAGTTTCATGTCGGCCGTCACTGTCCTGGGGGCCCCTTCCGAGGTCTACCGCTTTGGGGCATCCTTCATTCTCTTCTTCATTGCGTACACATTTGTCATCCTCTTCACAGCAGAGCTTTTTCTCCCTGTGTTCTACAGATCCGGCATCACCAGCACTTATGAGGTAAGAGGATCACTCCCTTCTCTAATTCAGCAAGAGTTGCTATTTTCTCTTCACTTGAATGATTTATGCATCTCCTCACCCTGATGAGAATCCATATAATCTTTATGATCACACTGTATCATTGAAGAATTTGCACTGATTTTTAAGACAATTACACATGGAAAAAATATTAAAATGCTCTTGGAAAAAAGTTTAAACTTTGCATATGGACACATATTTCCCCTCTGTAGAGAAGAAATAATAGTGTCAATCCATGGGCTACTGCAGTGATTAAATAGAACCTGTATTGTAAGTATATATCACATTGCTTCATTTGCAGGAGGTCCTCAGTGAAAGAAAGTTGATATTATTATTATTATTAGTGTTATTTTTCATAAAGACAAATATATACCATAAATATTATAATTTTTCAGAGCAACTGAGATACAGATAAGTGACTTAGTCAAGATTTAATGGTGGATCAAGTCTACTAGGAAAGTACCTTGTCTATTTTCCTATTTAGTGGCCTTTCTATCAGAGAGTAGAGCTGAGCACTTTAATGCAAATTATTACTAGGCTCATATTTTTAATGGTGAAATGATGCAATCTTTGAAATACAAAAATATTTTTAATGGGAAGAAATTGCTAAAGAATATAAATATGGGGATTATTTTAATGAGCAGGTAATGAGGCAGTTGTGACTTGGCTTTGCAATAATACTCAACAAAAATATCATGCTCAAAGCTGAATACAAATATCCAATATTTAAATGTGAGAAGAAGTACATTTCAATGAAAAGAAGATGTTTACTTTCATTATTTAACATTGATCCTGCCCTCAGAGCAAAAGGTTAGTAACAGTGCAATATTTTAAAATTCTGAATAACTTCTATCTTAATTTATAATAAAAATGTAGACATATCCCATCGCTCATTAGCGCATTTCTTAAAATATAAGCACTTTCTAGTTTGTCTTCTCAACTCTATAGGTTTGACTTCCAAAGGCATAGCTGAGTTTTCTGTTTATTTTTTAACAAAACAATGCATTTTAAAAGAATTCCCACATAAGTAATTATTAGAGCAAAAGACATGAAAGGAAAAGCAAAAAATTGGAGTCAGAAAAATAGAAGTTGAATTGCTAAGCCCATTGTTCACCAACAGGATCACTTTGTGTGCAAGTTATTTAGCAATTTGCGGATCCAGGTTTTACATAGAAAATGCCAAATATGTTCTTTCATGAAGGTTTAGCTTAATGTGAAAGGACTTTTTAAGTATAAAAAACTGCACATACATGGAATATAATTTCAATCACGATTCATTTCTTCTAAATACTTATTGAGCATCTACTGTATTCGAGGCACTCTGGGGCCCCGGGGGTAAGACATTGAACCGAGTCCCTCTCCTAATGGGGCTTGCTTTGAAGTAAGTTAGCCAGTCAATAAATAAAAACTATGTAAGAATACCAGAACCCAAATTCATATGGCATTTAGCTGGTGCTAAACACTACTCTCTGTACTTTAGTCATTAATTAATTTGGCCTTAAAACAACATTTTAAAATAGGTACTGTTGGGACCAGCAGATGGCATAATGATTATGTTGCTGGACTCCCACATAGTCAACCATGGTTCGAGTCCCGGACCTGGCAGCTTAAAACTCATGCCAGGCTTGTGTGCATGTGTGTCCAAGATCCTGAGAGGAGGATAGGGGAGAACGGATTGCAGTGTGGCCATCCCACCTAGGGGACGATTTCTCACTTTCTGTCTATCTCTCTCTGGTAAGCACACGTGCCCTATAGCAAAAAGTCTCTCTTGAAAAAAAAAAAAAAAGATACTGTTATATTTACACAATCAATAATTCCACCATGTGCTACAGCATCTTTCAATGGCCTGATGCTCAAGAGTTACTTCAAATAAAAATTAATATGGCTTCGGTTCATAATGATTTTTTTTTTTTTTTTGGAGAGGTTTCCGCTATAGGGCACGTGCACTCGCCAGACAGACAGAGGAGAGACAGAGAGACAGAAAGCGAGAAATCACCCCCCAGGGGTGATGGCCACACCACAATCCCTTCTCCTCCATTCTCCTCTCGGGATCTTGGGCACACATGCACATGCACCTGGCGTGAGTTTTAAGCCACTGGGTCCGAGACACGAACTGCGGTCGACTACGTGGGAGTCCATTACGCTAACTGCTGGTCCCGGTTCAAAATAAGTTTTAAATGCAAAGTTGTACAAACACACACACACACACACACACATGCACACACACAATAATTGAGCACATTTTCCAGAAATTAAGTAAAACAAGGGCATTGTTTTAAAATTATTAGACAACTTACTCTGAATCTGTCTATTATATATATGTTACTGAATATATACTTAGTTGTAACTGGCCTCAGTAAAGTAGTTCAGTTACTGGGGAAAAGAAAACTTACTGCAAATATGAGAAGTGTTGAAAGAGTTCATGAAAAATGCCTATTATTCAAAAAATCATTTATGGATTTCAAAACTGTTTTGCAGCAAAATAAACTTTAATTCCATAAACTTTTTGAAGCTCCCTCATATGTAACTGAGGAGATTTGAGATTGGACTTAAGTTACAATAAGTACAAGGACCAGCAGTTAGCGTAATGGCTATGTCACTGGACTCCCATGTAGTCAACCGCGGTTCGCATCCCGGACCGGGTGGCTTAAAACTCACGCCTGGCATGTGTGCATGTGTGCCCAAGATCCCAAGAGGAGAATGGAGGAGAAGGGATTGCGGCGTGGCCATCCCCCACTGGGGAGTGATTTCTCGTTTTCTGTCTCTCTGTCTCTCTCTGTCTGGCGAGTGCACGCGCCCTATAGCGAAAACCTCCAAAAATAAAATAAGTAAATAAATAAATAAATAAAAATAAAAAATAAGTACAGACATACGAAATACATGGACTTCATTGAATCTGATTTACTAAATTGTTTTAGAAATATTTGCTATTGCTTATTGTACATATTTTAAAATTTAGTACCCTAGTAAGACATCCATATTATGTAAAGTGTGTATAAGGTTATTTTAATTTTACATCTTGCTTTGTTAGAATTGGCATTATGGCATAGGTGTTGAAAGCATAACTCTAGACTCAGTATACTGGGCTTTGAATACCAGGTCTGCTACTTACTAGATAAGTGACTTTGGGGGAAATTGCTTAGCTTCTCTAAGCCTCAGTTTTACATGTTTAAAATAGAAATAATAGGAAATTCTATCTCAAAAGATGTCTGTGAAGAGTAGATATCACATGCAAATACCATCAATAGAGCCTGGAAATATTAGTACTATGTAAGAATTTCATATTATTGTTGCTAACTGTCCCCAAATTCATACCTCAGTCTCTTACTGTAGCATTTTGAAGTTCCATTTTCTTGATCATCTTCCATTCTCTATCACTTTTCATATATTCAAAGACATACTTTCCAGAGTCTTTTTAAATACTGAAGACTAAAAGAAGTAGAGACTTTCTCAATCCTTGACCTTGGGTTGATATTAGGCCTTACTTTGATTTGGCAAAAATGATATGGTGTGAGTTTGGAAGCTAGGCCTCATAAAATTCATACCTTCTGCCTTGGTTCTTTTGAGGACTGCCTTGATACTACTGCATCAGTCAGCCAGAAGAGCTGGTCTAGCTCCTGGATTTGAGTGGACACAGAGGAGAACAGGGGCACCTGGCCAATAACCACTACCAGCTGCCAACTATGTGAGTGAGGCCACCTCAGATCTTCTCACTCACTTGATCTTCCAGTTGGTTAAAGCCACATGAATGGTCTGGTGAAATGAATGGAGGAACTACAGAGACCATATTTGGAGTTTTGAGAAATAATACATCTTTGGTTTTTGAGCCAACAAGTTTTGGGGTGGGTGTTTTACAGCAATAGCCAGCTGATGTAAATGTCTTGATGTGTGGTGGAATTTTAAGACTAAGACATGCCATCTGTGCTACTTTCTCACTACCCTGTCCTGTGTCAAAGCATAAGGAATGTTCTTACACTCCAGTTATATATTAGGCTCAGCTCATTTGCAATATCATACATTTTTATTACCTCTGCTTAGTTTATAATTAGTCCCGTCATGTTATCTCTACTTCAGTTAAGGCTGTTTTCTTCTTTCTCTGATCATATACTAATGAATTCAGTCTGTTATTATTTCCCTTTCACACTGGTCTGTAGACTACTGTCTACCTACCTACTTTATCACTTTTCTTAGACTCCTTCAATTTGATGGCTTCTGAGATACTAACTTCTCTTCAGTCTAAAATTTCTCATTTTGAAAATGCATAGGCTACTACTTTACTATATTTTCTTGTATAGAGCTTTATGAGGATTTATATGTTACATACTTTTTTTTTAAACTAGTAAATGGCTTTTCTTTTAGTTCTTCTTTAAATTATAGTTGAGGTATTGTGATAATTATATTTTTATTTTGAGAAATTATATGCATAGGTATAAGATATTCTTATTGAATACTATTTTTAACATAGTAAAAGGTGTTACAAAATATTTGTGTAAAATGGATATTTAAAGTTTGATAGGATCTGAACCAATGTTATGACCTTTTTAAGTCATTATTGGGATCTGCTCTTACTCTTGGATGAGATGGGTCAATATGGCGTTTGTATGATGGGATTTATATTTTGATAGTATTACTCTGGGTGCAAGTGGAGACTGATTATGGGGTTTCCCTGCTGGGTCAGGAGGCCAGTTTGGAGTCTGTTGCCCCAATCTGAGTAATAAATAATGGTGATAACAGATAATGCAAGTAGGTATGTTTGAAAAGTGCGGCATAGGTACTAGGATTCTTTCATGGATTGGATGTGGAAAGTGAGAGAGACAGGATAAAAATGGACCCCATGTTTCTTGGGCTTGAATCAACAAGAAAAGTTGAGTTGCGATTTCCTGAGATGAAAAATTGTGTGGCTAGATTAAGTTTTGGGTTCTTAAAATAACCCAGCATGAAAAATCTCACCTTTGGTATTTTTAAAAGGAGACATGAATCATGCAATTTGTGTGTGTGTGTGTGTGTGTGTGTGTGTGCTGTTGAATTTTCATTTTTAATTTTTACTGAAGCAGTAGCTTGTGTCTGCAATGAAGTTGACCATTGAGTGCATGAGTGAACACACTGTAAGGAATAAGGAATGCTTTCTTCCGGCCATGGAATTATGCAGTTAGAATATTCTTGCTTATCTCACAATAAGAAAGCAGAGACTTAGATTACAGAGTGAGAGGTCAGCAAATCTCAACTAGAATTCATTAAAATTTAGAAGTCAGAAGTTCTGATCCTACTCTTTCACTTACTCTTTATTTTTATTTTTTTAAATGCTGTCTCTCTAGAGTTACTAAATTGACTGAATTGAGTGGAACTAAACTGAGATGTAAAAACCATTGACTTTTTTCCAGATCCCTGCAGTCTTTTCATGGCTTGAATATTTTTCAGAAACAGTTTCTCCTTCATTTTTCCAGACTTCATGTGCTACTCAGTTCCCAGGCCAATGCCATGTATTTTGCGGTGCTGCAATGTCTCCCACTTTTGGTACCAGTTTTTGTTATCAGTTATCTGTTGCCGTATAGCATGCCACTCCAAAGTAAATTTCTCCAACGACAATTTTATTTGGCCATTATTTTGTTGGTCAGCAAATGTAGCCTAGCTCAGGTGGTCCTCTGTGCCTCACTTGAGGACATCTATGTGACTGCTCTCTGGTGATGAATTGGCTAGGGGCTTTCTTGGCTAGGGGCTTTCTGATCTAGGGAAATCCAGGTGACACAGCTTGTCTGTTATATTTAGTTTCATCCTTCAGAAGGTTATCTTGTTTGTTTTCTAAGTAATTTATTTATTCTAGGAGAAAGAGTGAGTCACTACCAACACTATTCTTATACCTCAATCCACTTCCAGCCTTATCAGCCAGTCAGGATCATGCATGTGTGCCCAGTATGTATAAGGAGCCCTTGGGACATGAACCTTGGACCTTCTGATGTGGCTTTGACATTGCAGAGCATTGTATTACCACTGTGCTACTGCAGCTGACATAATTCAGGTTTTTTTTACATGGTGGAAAAGAGTTCTTGTCAGCAAGACACATCTCATTACTGAAGCATTTTTAAAGCCTCTGTTTAGATTATACCAGTTAGAAATATCACTTTCTTATGTTGCGTTCTCCTAGAAGCAGATCCTAAGACAAAGATTTGAATGCAAGTTACTCTGGGAGGAAGTGATCTCAGGAAACACTGGTAAGCAAACAGCAAAATGAGACATGGGAGAAGAGGAAGACAATAAGAGGTGCAACTAGGGTGTGTGCTTACTGCGGATCTCCAAGGGAGAGGACAGAGTATGTTTTGGAATGATCCATTCTAAGACCAAGAAACTGGGGTATTTATCCCCAAAAATCTCTTTAGTCATTGGCTGATGGCCAGTGATAACATGGTCTTCCCTTGCAAGGTCTGAGAGAAAGCCCTCAGCCAAGTAATCACAAATGCGTTTGGAAACCATCAACTCGTATGGAACAGGGAGTGCTGATAAGCTGCAGGTGCTACACCCACTGTGAACACTATAGTCACTAGGATCCTACTAACTCCTTGATCTTTACTTGGCATTATCATGCACTAGGCCATTTGATTCTTATCAGTGTCCATTTTAGGAAAAGAGAACTAAGATTTAGGGCAGCAAATGAATCTTCCCAAGGGCATGTGATTTGAACCCAAGCTATCTTCATCGCAAGTTTTACAGTGTGATATTTGAGACTTCTGAGTCCTTTCTGACTTCCCTTCTTCTTTAGGAATACTTTCCATGTATCTGGTGCCCTCAGCCACACATTTACTAGACTCTAACCTGACTCACAGTCTACTGAATACATCACCCGAAGAAAGAGGGCCTGAAAATACAGTGGTTCTTGGGACCAGCAGTTAGCATAATGGCTATGTCGCTGGACTCTCATGTAGTCGAACGCGGTTCATGTCCCGGACCCGGTGGCTTAAAACTCATGCCGGGCACTTGTACATGCGTGCCCAAGATCCCGAGAGGAGAATGGAGGAGAAGGGATTGTGGCGTGGCCATCCCCCCTGGGGGGTGATTTCTCACTTTCTTTCTCTCTGTCTCTGTCTTTCTGGCGAGCGCACGCACCCTAAAGCAAAAACCTCTCAAAAAAAAGTAAAGAAAGAAAATACAGTGGTTCTTTCTCTGAAGGGTGAAGCTATCAGTACAAGTTGGGAAATATGGGTTAATATGAAACTGAGCCTCAATTGTGCCAAGAAGAATTTCTTTTTTTCAGAGAAAGGGCCAGTTCTTAGCCATGAAACAACATTTATGTATCATTTCTAGGAAAAGGACAAATTAGTAGTTAATCCCTGATTTAATAAAAATGATTTCTCTCAAACTCAGATATGAAAGAACTGCTATTTTTAGAACTACTAACAAGAAATTAAGTTCTTAAGCCATTTGATAATTTTATAATTTGTGTTGGTCATTCAATAGCTATTAATTAATCACTGAAAAACATGTGTTAGTATCTCCTAAAATACTTACTCAGAAAAACCCTTCTTTACCTCCAATAGAAAGTCAGATCCCACCATTTAGTGTGTCCACAGCTCCTTGTAACTCTTCTTCAGTACACGTCAGGATTGTAACTTTACTCGTTTAGTATGAATATTTATTACTGGTCAGCTCATCTAATCTGAATGGTCCTTTAGGACATTGGGTATATCATATTTGCTTATCACGTGTGTTAGGGTGCAATATGGAAGGCAAGTAACAAAGATTTGTCGAGTGAATGAATACGCACACATGACAAAGATAAAAATGGACAAAATAGAACACTACCTATATGTACCAGGAAAGAGAAATGTTGTAGCCTGAAAAAGCATCTCCCTATTCCTCCACATTTATATCTATACCTAATCCCTGGAAGCTTACATGGTTTTTTAAAAACGGGTGTGTGTGTGGGTGTCTTTGAACATGTGATTTGATGAACATTGTTTAGATGAGGAGATTATTTGGCATTATCTAATTGAGCCTTAAATATAATACACATATCCTTGTAGGACAGTGGTAATAGGATATTTGACAGGTAAAAGAGGAGGCAAACGTGACTGTAGATGCAGAGATAGATGGAGCCTGAGCAAAGGACTGCCAGCAACCAATACAGCTGAGAGGAAGAAGAAGACTATTTTTTCTTCTAGAGCCTCCTGAGAGAGTCTGACCCTGCCAATATTTTCATGTTGGCCCAGATTGACTCAGGGACTCCTAGCATGCAGGACCATGAGAGAAATAAATTTCTGTTGTTTTAACCCACCAAATTGGCGGTAATTTGTTATTGTAGTCACAGGGAACTAAAGCAGCAAGATAAACACAATGCCAAAATATAGGACAACAACTGATAGTCATGAAAAAGGTTTAGAATGAGTGCACACAAACTAGAGGAGCAAGTTAGAGTAGGAACAGCAATTGAGTCATCCTTTTCAAGAGATGACTAAGAATTGGTGACATTTGGAGAGCAAGGCTTTCACATTGAAAGTTCCGCCTGAGCCAAGGAAAGATCTGAAAATTACGAATACATGAGTAGAATGATAAGCAATGATTTATGGGGAGAGCAACTTGTGTGATGGTTAGTGGTATGACTTAGGATAGGTAGGAAGTGGGCCAGCCAGTGGAAGATTTGGAAAATCAAGCCTGTGTATTTTGTTCTGTCAATGATAAAAAAATTACTGAAGATTTTGAGAGAAAGAATGACATGACCAGAGGTGCTTTAAAAGAAGCAGTTTTGTAGATAAGTTGTTGATGAAATGGGAGAGCAAGGACTGGTATTAGGGAGATCTGTTGGGATGCTACAGCTGTAATCCAGAAAAGAGAAAATGAAGGATTGGACTCATTTGGGGGCAGCCAGGATAGGAATGGCAACAATGGCTCCAGTGGATCCACTAGGAAGACCCCTGGGTAGAAAGTAAGAAAACCTAAATTTTTATGTAAGCAACTCATTTATCTTTTCTGACATCATGAAAAGGGTGGAGAAGAATGGGTTTTTAACATATCTTTCACTTTTTAAAATCCATACTTTTGCCCCCTTGTTGTTTCCAAGCATATGTGCCACAAAATCACATTGCATAGACAAAGCACTAAACTCAGAGAAATACCAAGAAAAAAAAGGAACTTCTTAGCAGCCTTCATCTAAATCTCCCCAACTTTGTGTGTCTTTCTCTCTGTCTCCTCTAGTATTTACAACTACGGTTCAACAAGCCAGTGCGCTATGCTGCAACAGCCATCTACGTTGTTCAGACGGTAAGGGGCCATGGCTGCTGCAGACGGGAATTGTGGGTCACAGGATCCAGGTTTGCTTATTTGGGCAGTAATGAACTCAATTAATGGATCTACTTAATACTGAGAAGACACTACTTTCTTCTAAGGAGAGCACTTTCAAGATTTGGTATTACATCAAGAGATAGTCGTACCGCACAGATCCCCTACATCTGGATTCAAAATAGCAAATAGCAAACAAATGTGTAATAAGATATAAGAAAAAAAATTCTTCTTGATTAATTTCACTTCCACTTAACCTATATGAGTTTCTTTACATATGAAATGGTCTGATTGGTAACTCTAATAATACTATTACTAATTATTATAACTAATTAACGGAGTTAGATAAGAAATGTCTGTTGTGCTGAAAATCATTTTAAGACAGTTTCCAACAAATTTCCTCCCTCTTATAGACTTTTCCCACCCTCCAGGCTTAGGGTAAATTCATGACACCCCAAGCTTGCTTGTGGCACACCATAGTACATTTCCTACTATTTTTGCCACAAGATAAACATCTTCTCTTCTTGGTCAAGACTCCCACTGACTGACTGATGTGTTAGAGAGCAAGCAGCAGGAAAACAATATTCTTTGACCTGCCTACAGACCTGCCTACAGACAATTTGCTTTTTAAAACCTTCTTGTCAATCTCCAAATGGTGGAATGGCTTTTGAAATAAAATGGAAACCGAAATTACTTCCAACAGCATAGTAGTTGTGATTGGGGGAGTGAGATTTATTCGTTATGTAGATCATCCATTTTGTCAGTTTTCCCTGCACAGTGCTTTATTCTCACAGATGTTTCCCATCTCCATTCTAAATTCTGTCTTTCAGCAAACTGTTAAAATGTGCTTCTGTTCCTTAGTAAAGCATCTCATGAAGTCAGCAGAGTGCCTATTTCATGTATGCATGAGGGGAGTGGGTAGAAAGAGCGTAAATCAAAAATTTAAGTGTGGTCTATATTTGCACCCTTTAGAAAGATACAAAATATAACCATAAGATCTCCAAATTAGAACAAATCTTAAAAATCCAATCCTCTTCATATATCACTGACACCCTTTCTATTATCTAGTTATAATGATGAACAGTTTCAAAATTAGAGTGGATGTTTGCTGAACAAATTGAAAGAAATTCATGTCCAAGGTCAATAAGAACTTTCTAGGCTGTTTTCTTTCACATCACTTTTTTCGCTGTTCACCTGATGTCTTCTGTCTCCATTAGATTCTCTACACAGGAGTGGTGGTGTATGCTCCTGCTCTGGCGCTTAATCAAGGTGAGTTACCATAAACCCCTGGGCATAGTTCACTCATTTTATGCCTGAATTCTTGTCTTATAGAAATAACCCTAAAACACCTTGCTGGGGAGATATTCCTGTAGTTAGGTTACTCAATCACTGTAGCAGTCACTACATAATGCTCTAAAAATTTGCTTTATGTTGAAAATAATGCAAATAATTGGTTACTTGATTTTTACCTCACATAGTTACAAACCTGTAGTTTTATTATTTTTTGGTTTAGGGTTTTTTTATTTTGTTTTTTAATCTTCAAAATGATGAAAGTTTTAGTGTGGTGCTTTCATAGCCACTAAATAAAGTCATTATAGTGTGTGGTCTTTTTTTAGTGATTTCATAAAATAGATAATCTCAGTACAGGAGAAAAGGTTGTTTGCATTAATTCTATTAAACTTATAGTCGATCCTGTCAAAAGGATAGAATATTGAAACAAAAACAAAAGGAAGGAAAAAAAGTGAAAATAAATTTCACAATAGCGCTTGCCATATTGAAAGTTTGCAATATTTAGTTTAATTGGACTATGTGCTATATGAGAAACTAATTCATGGTTGGTGTTTGGTGATTTGGGAGTGCTCAGACTAACTTTGTTAACAACAAACAAACCAAGCCCTAACCAAATTTGGGCCAAAGATTAGAAGTCTAGATTAGACCAAAGGCAAAATTTTAGGAAGAAAAATTTGAACATGATAAACTGGATCAAGGTATAAAATCAGGGTATAAAAATATGATAAAATAATCTTTCCTAGAGGAGAAAAAAGTTAACGAGTGAAAACACTAATTTGATTTTTATTCACCCACTAAAGACACTAGCAAAAATATGGTAACTTAGTTCTTACAAAGTTTGCTCATTCATTTTTCTTCAGATAAATTTTTATTTTAAATATTGTTCTCTGCTTTCCTAGTGACTGGCTTTGATCTCTGGGGCTCTGTGTTTGCAACAGGAATCGTCTGCACATTCTACTGTACCCTGGTATGTATTTAACTGTGAAAAAATATTTAGCATTGCCTCCTAATATGGGATATAATGGCAAATATCCAACTACAGACATCTAATTATAGCAGAAATTGCAATTCTGAAATTAAATAAAAGTATGTCGTCTTGTCTGCCAGTTTCTCAAGGAGGTGCTATTGTGTTATGAAAAATTCTTTTCATTACCAGCCATAGAAGAGACTAGGCTCTGAGCTCATTTAGGAAAGTCATACCTGGGACCAGCAGTTGGTGTAATGGCTATGTCAGTGGACTCCCATGTAGTCGACTGTGGTTTGAGTCCCGGACCTGGTGGCTTAAAACTCACGCCAGGTGCATGTGTGTGCGTACCCAAGATCCCGAGAGGAGAATGGAGGAGAAGGGATTGCGGCATGACTATCCCCCCTGGGGGGTGATTTCTCGCTTTCTGTCTCTTGTCTGTCTGGCGAGCGCACGCACCCTATAGCAAAAACCTCTCAAAAAAAAAAAAAGTCATACCTAATAAGAGATTTCATGAAAGAAATGTCTCCTTGATTAGAGAGTAGGTGACCTTATTCAACCTCTGAGAAAATCATTTGCTTACTAACAATTATAAACTATGAATAACATTGACACTTCATTGCTTTTAGTGGTTGAGAAGTAACAAATTTCACATGTATGAGCATGTGAGAATGTCTGTGATTTTATAAATTTGAGGATTCCACAGCTTGTTTTGGCTCTTATTGGTGGATAAGGCTGAATTATACTTAACATTTGACTTTATACATGATCAGTTTTTAATCCAGAAACCTGGTTAGTATGGGCTACATGTTTACATAACAGCTATATATAGTTTAGTTCAACATATATTCACTAAGCAATTATGGTTTACCCATGCCCTATAACTGGAATATATCTTATGTGTCATTGTACCAAGTGCAAGTTTGAATTAACCAGCTAAAGAATGTGGTGATGGTTTGCATCCTCTTTCTTGTTCTATAGAGAAAAAATAAAATAATTGACATATTATTGTAGAGAAGATCATTTACATATTTTCCAGTAAGTGCATGTCTCATCCTCTTTGTAGCATATGTCTAGATTATATGCACTTAAAGATTCCTTTCTCTCTCTTTTACATACTTTTAAATCTCATTATTTCTTTGCATTTAAAATTTTATCTTCTTTTTTTCCCCTTTCTATTCTCACTACTGTAACTCTATTCCAGAAGTATACCGCCCCCAACCAGGTTAAAAAATAGGATCCTATTCTTTCCATCTCTAACCATGTATGGCAATGTAGTTGCTCTCAGGTACGTGCCCATAAAAGGATAACTCTATGCAGGATACAACAACTTTTTGATGTATTGTTGGGCTTGCAAAAAATATCATAGCTTCTCAGGGAAATTTTCTCCTAAAAAATAAAGTTGCAAAATAATGTAACAAAAATAACTGTAGATCTATTGGGTCATGAGTAAAGTCATGACATATTTTTCTATGCAAAAATATGTCAAGGCTTTCCTGACAACGTAACATGAATTATAAGGCTGGTATTTAGAAAGAGTAAGTAGTAGGAAGATAGGTACGAAGGGGCTGACCTGAGAGTAGGTGCTGAGAACAGTGTTACTATTGAGATGTTGAACCTTGGCAGGTGACAATGTAGATCAGCTGAGCTAGGGACTGTAGCATTAAGCTAGGATCATTGAGAGAAGCTGAAGCAATTTTAGTTCAGTGATGTACTTTGGCTCTTGCAAAGAAAATGGTGCAATCCTCTTCCAGCTATGGACTATAAGATGCCCAGAAATAAAGATGCGGTGATTATCTTATAATAAAATATAATTAGAAATACAAAATAATGAAGTAACTGAACGAAAATTAGCAAAACATCAAATGAGATTTAACCTCTTAAGAGCAGTATATATTCAAACTTCAAGATGCTGAATAAAGAATAGATATGTGAGCTATCTCTTTAGTACAATGATTAAGTACTGGTCATTGGAATCCATAACACAGATGACCCACCAAGGTCCAAATTCCAGCCCCAAAGACTTGGAAAACACACTGAGCACATGTGCATGTGTGCTGCAAATTCCGATGCAATGGAGAAATGGAGGTAAAAGGATTGTGGCATAACCACACTCTATCGGGAGGTGCTTTCCTTATCTCTCTCTTCTGTCTCTGAAAACACACACATCCCATATCCTCTGGAATAAAAAAGAGCAAATATGCCTTAAATTAATTAAATAAATAATTCTATTTCAAAGAAGAGTTAGTATCAGAATAACTACATAATATAATTCCTATAATAAAGGGTAGATACTTTTGAAGAGATAATTGGCATATTGGAAGATATATGTCAAGAAATAAACTAAATACAACAGAGACAAGGAAATGAAATAAATGAAAGAGAAATGGAGACAGATGGAATGTGAAATAAGAAAGTCTAATTTATATCTAATTTGAGTACCAGAAGAAAGTACAAGGGAGGCTATATATATATGTGTGTGTGTGTGTGTGTGTGTGTGTGTGTGTGTGTGTATACATATATATATATTTTTTTTGAGAGGTTTTTGCTATAGGGCAAATGCACTTGCCAGACAGAGAGAGAGAGACAGAGAGACAGAAAGCGAGAAATCACCCCCCAGGAGGGATGGCCACGCTACAATACCTTCTCTTCCATTCTCTCGGGATCTTGGGCATGCACGCACACATGCCCGGTGTGAGTTTTAAGCCACTGAGTCCAGGAATCGAACCGTGGTCGACTACATGGGAGTCCAGTCACATAGCCATTACGCTAATTGCTGGTTCCTAGGCAATATTTTTTAAAAATTACAGCTTGAAAATTTTTCAAAACTGATAAGAATCTACAGGGAAAGTAATATTTAAGGGAAAGTAATATTTAAAGTAATACTTAGGGAAAGTAATATTTAAGGTCAAAATAAGAGTTTATAGTTTCACATCAGTGAAACTATAGAATAGTGGATATAATTAAGAGACCTGGAAAGAAGCCAAAGAGGGAAAAAAGAGATACCTACAAAGGGACATGGATGGTAGACTTCTTAGCAACTGCAGTAAAAGCCAGGAACAATGGGATAGTATCTTGGAAACATAAGGAAAAACAATTGTCAATGTGTGATTGTGTATTCAACAAAACTATCTTTCAGAAACTGAATATCGAGAACCAAATAAATTGAACAGTAATGGATCTCTCCCTAAGAAAGGTTTAAATAAAGTACTGAGAGACAAAGTAAAAATATTACTGTATGATCATTTTAATTAAAAGAAAGTAGGGTCAGCTAGTGGTATGGTAATTAAGGCAGCCAGGTCCCACATGCCGGCTGCACAGTTTGAATCCTGAATCCATGGCTTAAAAACCTGTTGATGATAACATGTATAGTATTCTCAGCTGGACTGGTCTGAGAAGTATTTCATGTAGGGTAAATTCTTTATACAAGCCAAAAGATATATAGTGATCGAATGTTTAACAAATAATGAGGATAAATAATAATAATAATCTGAAAAAATGATGACAAGCCATTTGATGATGATGATGGGGTAGTAATGTCTTTGTCTTGACTGATATGTGTAGTAATTGTGCTGGAAAAAGAAACATATATACTGCAAAGATATATGAGATTCAATATAATATAAAAATATTATGATAATAATAAATAAAATAAAATAAAATATCACACAGGGCCTGTACATATGTGTGCTCAAAATCCTGAAGGGAGAAACAGATAAGAAGTGATTGAGGTGTGACTATTCCCCATGGCGGTGATTTCTCTCTTTCTCTCTTTCCCCAGTGAGCACATACGCCCTCCAGAAAATTTTAAAAAATGGAAAAATGTGATAACAAGAAAATGAAATAGTAAACATTTATTAAGTTTAAGCAAAATTTTTGCTTAATAAATAATTATATTATAATTTGTATATATTATTAAACTTATATTTCCATTTACAATATAAAATAGTAGTTGTTATTATATATAATTTTAGGATTAAGAAATAGAACAAGTCACAAATTATACAACATAGCATGTACATCAGGAAGAGCAATCAGATTCAAGGATATTATAATCCTTGGACTGTTAGGGATTAAGACACTATTTAAATTGGACATGCAAGTTAAAAATGTGTGGAAAAATTTCAAAGAGATCAATTTAAATAAAATACTCAAGTGAAGATGGAATTTACAAAAACATCCCCAAGTGAGCTAAGCAAGATGGGAGGAAAAAGGCCATAAACAATGTTGGACAAATAGAAATGAAAAGAACACAATGTCACAAATAAGTCTGAGCATTTTAATAATCACAACAGACTAAAATAAATGAAATACACTATCCCCTAACTGATTTCATGTCTCCACCTCTTCATGTTCACCCTATTCTGCATGCTTCTCTCAGATTAATCTGCTTAAAACATTCATTTCTCCCTGCCACTTGACTGACCCAATTCTTTTCTTGCTTTCCATTGTTCACAGGCTAAAGCAGAAGCACCTTAGCCTGGTGTTGAAAATCTCTCATTCCGTGAGCCCAGCCAGTCCTCTAATTCTCACCATGCCTCTATTCTCTCTCTAGCCAGGCTAGAGACTTCAGGGTCTCACCAAAATTAATCTAACACCTTTGCTCTTATCGCAGTCTCTCCTCTGATCATCTTGTGGCTGCACACTTACTAAGATAAGCTGTTCAGGAGATTAAAAAATAAAAGTGATTCGGGCTATTCAGAGGTCTGTGATTTTGTGAGGAAAACTTCAGATCCAAGATAGCACAGATCAATTAAATACATGGGTGATATCCAACACACCATCAAGGTTATAAAAGTCAGTGGTGTTTGTGTGTGTGTCTGTGTTTGTGAGAGAGAGAGAGAGACAGGAGAGAGAGAGAGAGAGAGAGAGAGTCCTCCTTGCTACACAAAGGAGCCAGAGAACTATCTATGGTGGCTATAGTCTGTCTTTTGATGAATCTTTGGTAAAGTGGTTTGTTCTTTTGCTTTCTGTCTAGTGATGTTTAAATTTAGCAGATTTTTGCGTAGGTAATGCCAAGTACCCTCTGAAAACTGAAGCCTTTGACCTTTTTCATATCACTAAAATCTGGTGTTGAGATAAGAGTTTGGAAGCAAGTCAAAGTAGTGTTACCTCACAGGTGGGAGGTGGTAAATTTATTATTCTTCAAGTCGTGATTTGGACAAAATATACAACAAAATATAATGCCTGTAGTGGATATGAAGTGTCTATTTTTAAAATTAAATTTTGATTTTTATTATACAAGAAATAATGGGGAGAGAGAGAGAGAGAGAGAGAGAGAGAGAGAGAGTCCTCCTTGCTACACAAAGGAGCCAGAGAACTATCTATGGTGGCTATAGTCTGTCTTTTGATGAATCTTTGGTAAAGTGGTTTGTTCTTTTGCTTTCTGTCTAGTGATGTTTAAATTTAGCAGATTTTTGCGTAGGTAATGCCAAGTACCCTCTGAAAACTGAAGCCTTTGACCTTTTTCATATCACTAAAATCTGGTGTTGAGATAAGAGTTTGGAAGCAAGTCAAAGTAGTGTTACCTCACAGGTGGGAGGTGGTAAATTTATTATTCTTCAAGTCGTGATTTGGACAAAATATACAACAAAATATAATGCCTGTAGTGGATATGAAGTGTCTATTTTTAAAATTAAATTTTGATTTTTATTATACAAGAAATAATGGGAAATTTTCTCAGATAAAGATTGTCATCTTTTCGTAGAAGTTCTTGACACTCCGGAGGAGTAGCTGGGGATGATTATTTTATTTTTGAATGTTAAAAATATCACATCCTTCATTTCATAGTGCTCATCCTTTTTCAAAACACTTTTTAATATATTTCTACATTTCATTTGTTTCCTGTTTGCTCACCAACCTTTTCCCAGTCCTAAGGGCTTGAATACCTGGAATAATACAGCAGCCTCGCTCCTTCCTCCTTTCTTCTTATCTCAACTAGAGAACTTGGCCAACCCAGTCCTCAATGGATTCAGGACCCATGGAGGTGGATTCAGACATTCTTTTATGCTCCCCCCCCCACCACCACACTCTTTTGTGTAATTGAAATGATTCTAAAGAGGAGCCAAGTTTGATAATGGCTGCTTTGGCCCTTTGGTTCATCACTCTTTCTTAGGTTCTGCTGTTAGATTCATCTTCCTAAAACTCTGGTTTGTTCACTTCACAATTTGAACATCTTAAACCCCTTCCTCCATGAATGTCTGGAATCTAACATTCCTCTCTGATTTCTTTCTTTCTAAGTATTCTACCATCTCGGTTTTCCAGGGTGTGTTCACTGTTACTAATTTTACAGAAAAGTTGTATAAGCCAGACCTGGGTGATTACCCTTTATTCTCTTTTACCTGTGTTCAATAAATCACAACTTGTGTTGGTTTTACCTCCAAAATATTATTTAAATTCATCAATTTCTTTCTATCTCTACCATATATCAAATGTTAGTCATGATGGATGTGTTTTACTAAAATAAACTCAGTGGTGGTCGCTAAAATCCCTTTTTCTGACAGTTCTGCAATTTATTCTCCACATGCTCACCAATGAAATTGCTATGAAACAATTTTTTTAATGCTATCTCATTGCTCTTAAGAAATCATGTGAGTGGTTTTGTCAGGGTCTATGTGCTTTGGCCTCTAGCAAATTTAGCAACCTGCACTTTGAGAACTCCACTCTTTTGACATATATTCCTGCTCATATATTCCAGCTTTTTTTTCATTTCCTGGGAGCCCAGGTATCTCTTTTCTTACATACCAGTTCCCTCTGCTTTATACTTCTAGAGTAACCTGTCCTTCATTCTATTTTCCAGTTTTAAGTAAACAGCTATATTATTGCTTAACATTTCCCCACTAGATCGTAGACTCAATGAAGTTAAGGAAGGGACTAGTCCTTTTCACTTACCATTTATTCTCACACTTAACATGGTACCTGGCATGTAAAAGATGCTCAGTGACTATCACAGAATAAATGAATAATGAATGAATGACTGCATCAGCAGGGAGGCCTCACGGGGTTAGAAGAATCACGGTCTTCATTTTCAAGAACTCACCTCCATTCTCTCCATTTCAGGGAGGATTAAAGGCGGTGGTGTGGACAGATGCATTTCAGATGGTAGTGATGGTTGTGGGCTTCCTATCCGTTCTCATTCAAGGATCAGCTCATGCTGGTGGATTACACAATGTCATAGAGCAAGCAACGAATGGATCTCGACTGAATATATTTGAGTAGGTCTGATTTCATGCTTTATAAAGACTGAGCTGTGTGACCCATCCCCTGTAGCAGCAGCTGGGTATCCAAGGAGTGATTTGTTCTCTCACTTCTCTCCCCCTCGTAGTTTTGATGTGGACCCTCTCAGGAGGCACACATTCTGGACGATCTCAGTGGGAGGGACGTTTACATGGCTCGGGATTTATGGAGTTAATCAATCAACTATCCAGAGATGCATCTCTTGCAAAACAGAAAAGCATGCTAAACTGTAAGTTATTCACGAAAAAAAACTTTTTTCTCTAAAAAATCTAGTTTTATTTTTAAAGCTCTTAGGAATTTATGTTATCTTTTTTTGTGAGTATGCCTAATTTCTCTTTAGTACTATATTCATGCTTGAACAGTTAAGAAATATATCTTTTTCATCATTTTCCCTCAAAACCAAGAATCAAAAATAAGCCTTGTGCTTATTAACTGTTTATCACTTATTAAACAAAATAGTACTGAAGAAGGTCATGCTTGTGTGTATGTCTACACAGACACACATATACGAAGGGGTATATATGTGTATACACACGCACATACATACACACTCTTGTGTATTTATCTCAAAGCCTCACTTACAGTGAATTTGTTTAATTCAAGCACAATCAGTACAATCTAATTCACATAGTTCCTTGAAATCTTGAATTCATTGTATTAGTATTTAATGGCTATGCAAACTGGCAGAAAAGAAGAGATAGTTATGAAGAAAGAAATCCACGTAATTTTCTAAGAATTTAGGACTGTCCCTCCTGGTTCCACCAACCCCATGCCCATGAAGGTACCAGAGGTCTAATAGAAAAAAAAAAAATTTTTTTGGAGAGATTTTCGCTATAGGGCGCGTGCGCTCACCAGACAGAGAGAGACATAGAGACAGAAAGCGAGACATCACCCCCCAGGGTGGGTGGTCACGCCGCAATCCTTTCTCCTCCATTCTCCTCTTGGGATCTTAGGCACACACGCACACGCGCCTGGCGTGAGTTTTAAGCCACCGGGTCCAGAACGTGAATCGCGGTAGACAACATGGGAGTCCAGCAACATAGCCATTACGCTAACTGCTGGTTCCCTAAGTCTGTAGTTCTTAAAGTATGATTGATCCTGGACCAGGAACTGTCGGCCACATCTTGTACTTTGTTTGAAAGGCACACTTCTATGGGACCAGCAGTTAGTGTATGCGTGCGTGCCCAAGATCCCGAGAGGAGAATGTAGGAGAAGGAATTGCGGTGTGGCCATTCCCCTTGGGGGGTGATTTCTCATTTTCTGTCTCTCTGTCTCTTTCTGGCTAGTGCACTTGCACTATAGAGAAAACCTCTTGAAGGAATCTAAGGTGATTAGGTTGACACAACTCAGGAGAGAGAAGTGAATTGAGGTCAGCAGAGGTGAAGTGCAAACAGCTGGCAGGGAGATTCCTGCAGTGGGACTATATTCATGCTTGAACAGTTAAGAAATATATCTTTTTCATCATTTTCCCTCAAAACCAAGAATCAAAAATAAGCCTTGTGCTTATTAACTGTTTATCACTTATTAAACAAAATAGTACTGAAGAAGGTCATGCTTGTGTGTATGTCTACACAGACACACATATACGAAGGGGTATATATGTGTATACACACGCACATACATACACACTCTTGTGTATTTATCTCAAAGCCTCACTTACAGTGAATTTGTTTAATTCAAGCACAATCAGTACAATCTAATTCACATAGTTCCTTGAAATCTTGAATTCATTGTATTAGTATTTAATGGCTATGCAAACTGGCAGAAAAGAAGAGATAGTTATGAAGAAAGAAATCCACGTAATTTTCTAAGAATTTAGGACTGTCCCTCCTGGTTCCACCAACCCCATGCCCATGAAGGTACCAGAGGTCTAATAGAAAAAAAAAAAATTTTTTTGGAGAGATTTTCGCTATAGGGCGCGTGCGCTCACCAGACAGAGAGAGACATAGAGACAGAAAGCGAGACATCACCCCCCAGGGTGGGTGGTCACGCCGCAATCCTTTCTCCTCCATTCTCCTCTTGGGATCTTAGGCACACACGCACACGCGCCTGGCGTGAGTTTTAAGCCACCGGGTCCAGAACGTGAATCGCGGTAGACAACATGGGAGTCCAGCAACATAGCCATTACGCTAACTGCTGGTTCCCTAATAGAAAAATTTTTTAAGACTAAGGAACGATTGGGACCAGCAGTTGGTGTAATGGCTTTGTCGCTGGACTCCCATGTAGTCGACCACAGTTTTGAGTCCTCGACCTGGTGGCTTAAACTCATGCTGGGTGTATGTGCATGCGTGCGTGCCCAAGATCCCGAGAGGAGAATGTAGGAGAAGGAATTGCGGTGTGGCCATTCCCCTTGGGGGGTGATTTCTCATTTTCTGTCTCTCTGTCTCTTTCTGGCTAGTGCACTTGCACTATAGAGAAAACCTCTTGAAGGAATCTAAGGTGATTAGGTTGACACAACTCAGGAGAGAGAAGTGAATTGAGGTCAGCAGAGGTGAAGTGCAAACAGCTGGCAGGGAGATTCCTGCAGTGGGGAAGTGGTGGGGGCTCCAGTGTGCCTCTGGAGCCTCAAGGACATTCCCCGGGCAGCTGAAGGCCACTCAGAGCCAGCTGCTGACTGGCTCTGCCTGGGAAGCTCTGCAAAATATGAATAAAAGTTCTGCATCTCCTCAGTTATCTGAGAGCCCCATATAATTAAAGCTTTCCTCAGGGCTTAGGAAAATCTCTGATACTTGAGGAAAACATATCCCGCAAAATAGATTCATTAAGTTCATACTGAATGTGGTCATGGGTAAAACCAGGAGTACTTCTTACATATGCATGTAATTCATGACCAGAAATGCTGACTGCACATGGAAATACTGTCACTAACCAATACCTTAAATAGCCACCCTGAAAGCTGACTCCTTTCGTTTGTAGACCCCAGCTTATTTTCCAGGACTATTTGTGGCACATGTTGTACAGGGACAGCAGAAGTTGATTTAGGGTATAGAGTCCCCTCTCATCATGTCCTCTCTCTCAGCTAAGACAAATGCATTTATGCCATCATTTTTGTTCCATTTCCATGGCCTTAGTGTGTTTTCCTCATTTATCTTATAATATCTAAATACGTGATGAAATGTTTGAAAGAGGATGAATCTGATTCTCTTTGAATGATGCCCAGTATATAATAAACAAATGAAGGATATTAGTATATTTACCACCTTCAATATTTAACATTATATCATGTTATGAACATTCAGAACCCATTCCACTAGTTATTCTAGAAGTATGTACTGAATTATCTCTGAGATTCTTTACTGTGAAATATGGTTCCCCCCCCAAAAGAACCCAAATTGATAAATAATCAACAACAAAAAGTCTCATAAATTAACAAAGATAATATTTTTATTATTTTTTAATAGAGATTTTTTGCTATAAGTCGTGAGCGTTCACTGGAGAGACAGAGAAAGACAGAGACAGAAAGCAAGAAATCGCCCCAGAGCGAATGGTCACACCACAATTCTTTCTCCTCCATTCTCCTCTTCAGATTTTGGGCATGTATGCACACATGCCCAGTGTGAGTTTTAAGCGGCCGGGTACAGGACTCAAACCACAGTTGACTATGTGGGAGTCTAGCGCTGTAATCGTTACTCCATTTGTTGGTCCCAACAGAGATAATCTTAACAAGCCAATGAAAGGAGACTTTGTCATTTCCATGTACAGGACTTTGGGAGATAGGAGTTTATAATCCGAAAAGATCTGTGTTACCATCAGTCCAGTCAGAGATAGGCAAAACCCTACCTAACGATAGCTCATGAGGAATAGCTCACTCACTGATTTCTTGTAAGACCATGGTATTGTACTGTGCACAAAGACATAAGCCCGCAAAAATGCAAAATTAAAACAAAATTGGAAAGACATGTTTAAAACAAAAGCCATAGTAAAGTCAGTGACTTGGTGATTTAAAAACTTCACAATGTTCTTGGTTTTAGCTTTCTTTAAATTCATCCCAAAGAAAGCTTCAGCTACTTGTAACATTTTGGACTTTTCCTTTGCTATCTAGTTTTATACAATGAGTACTTATTATAATAAATATATAAATTGAAACCTGTGAAGACAACTGTCTATCAAGTAACTGGTGAATTTGTACTTAGACCTGCTTGTGTGTAAAATAGCTGAATCTGCATTTTTAGCCATTTAGTAGGAAAATTTAATTCTGACATTCAATTTTGACATTCAAAGAACAGTAATAGGGTTGGCCTAGTGGCCTCATAGGTAAGGGAGCTGAATCCCACATGGCTGACTATGATTTGAATTCCAGCCCTGAGGGCTTGAAAAATATGCCAGACATGTGTTTGCGCATGCCCAAATCGCAACAGGATGGAGATGGAAGAAAAGGTATTGTAGTACAACAGGATGGAGAAATGGAAGAAAAGGTATTGTAGTGTGGCCACATCTCATGGGGGGTGTGCTTTCTCTCTCTCTTTGTCTCTGTCTCTGGTGAGCACACATGTCCTCTGTCAATTAAAAAACAAAGAACATTAATGAAACAAAACAACTATAAAATGCTGCAGAAGCAGCCAGGCTGGAATAATGCACATCTGTGTGCTGCAGATAAAATGAACGGCTCCCAAGAAAATGGGCAAGATGGTCCTTGGGTTTTCACACTTTCCATTGTCTTTTTTAAAAAAACTCAACTTCAACTTATCTGAATTAATTTCCAAAGTGTATATTCCCAAACTTTTCTATTTTACATGATCTCCTAATCCCTCTATAAGAAGAGATGTTAAAATGTAAGTTGGCTTTTGACAGTGTCATGAATTGAGTGGGGGGAAAATCACTTAAAGTTATATAATATGAGTGGTTGGCATGTAGAATTTCATCCAGGAAAATAGATTTCACACCACACATATTGAGACTTTTAAAAAAGTCCTGATTTAAAAAGGAAATTCACTTCAAATCTTAACTCATTCAAATTTGGTAACTCATCTAAAAAAAATGCAGTGTTTCCAAACGAAAAGCATGCAAAAGTATAAAAATGTAAGGATTCATTTTTTCATATTGATAACTATGAATTGATTGCTAACATTTTATTTTATGTATTTTAATCAACAGATAAAATTATATGAATTTATAATGGATAACATGATACTTCTAAGTATATATGCATTGTGGAATAGCGAAATCTAATGAACACAGGCATTACTCATAGTTATAATTTCTGTATTGACAACACTTAACATCTACTCCCGCAGTGTTTTTCAAGAACGTTATCATTATTATTTATGGTCACGATGATGTACAAAAATGTAATGACCTTTGCATTTGCCTTCATCTTTATTAACATCCTCATCACGCTTTGGCATGACGGTGCCTCCCTGTTCTCCATGTGTTCTTTCCCAGTGCCCTGTACTTTAACTTGCTGGGTCTCTGGATCATCCTGGTGTGTGCCGTCTTCTCTGGCTTGATCATGTACTCCCACTTCAAAGACTGTGACCCTTGGACATCAGGCATTATCTCAGCACCAGACCAGGTATGGTCCCCAGAGGTCTAATGCAGAGAGTGGAGTGTGAGTGCTCCCAGTCAATGTAGGGTCCTGTTGGGCCTTTCTCTTTTTCTACCTGAGCCTCCCTAGCCACTTCCCAAACACTTAGGACTTGGTTTTTTCCTCTTCTTTTGAGTAATATCACCACAAACCAGATTCAAATATAGCATAATGAATAGGCAGAAAAAGGGCATTTTACCTTGTCTGTGAAGATAAGACCCAGAGCCCGAAGGCAGGCTTGAACCTAGGCTCTGGGTGTGGATGCTGTCTTTGGTCTCTCTTTCTACACATTTAAAGGTGCTTAGTGACACTTTAATCTCAAATTGAACAAAATGACTTATTCCCACAATGCTTCTGATCCTGGCTTCTCAGCATAGTTTAAGCATCACACCAATACAATGTATTAAAATGGTTTTAAACTCTGTTTTTAGAGAATATTTACAGAGGATTATCATTCCTCTTCTCCTCTCATATATAAGGGGTCTTCAAAAAGTTCACAGAAAAATGGGTATTATGAAAAAACTATGCATGGATTTGGGAACTAGCAGTTAGCGTAATGGCTATGTCGCTGGACTCCCACATAGTCGACTGCGGTTCACGTCCCGGACCCGGTGGCTTAAAACTCATGCCGGGCGCGTGTGCGTGCGTGCCCAAGATCCCGAGAGGAGAATGGAGGAGAAGGGATTGCGGCGTGACCATCCCCCCTGGGGGGTGATTTCTCGCTTTCTGTCTCTATGTCTCTGTCTGTCTGGCGAGCGCACGCGCCCTACAGTGAAAATCGCTCCCAAAAAAAAAAGTAAGAAAAAAACTATGCATGGATTAAAAAAAATGCACTCAGGTAAGCTTGGGCTCTAATTTTACAGACTTTGTAATGGCCTTTCATATAGACAACTGTTCCACCCTGTCATATAGGGGCTTTTCTCTCACAGACTTGGCTATGGAGTGGAACCACAATGCCTAGATTCCCTAAAGACCCATTTTAAGTTTTTTTTCCCCCCTCATGTGGTGGGTGGATAATGGCTAACGTTCGGGATTAGTAGGCGAGATAATGGCATATCTTAAAAGCATAAGAAAGATAAAATTCCCACTTCCTTTGACTAAAACTTACATCCCACATTTCCGACACTGCTGAGACCTGATCCCGTTGCTATTTTGCCTCCCTCTCAGCTGATGCCATACTTTGTCATGGAGATCTTTGCCACGATGCCAGGGCTGCCAGGACTTTTCGTGGCCTGTGCCTTCAGTGGAACTCTGAGGTTAGTGTCTTGACAGTACTGTGATAACAATGTTGATTGAGAAGACAACAAATGTGGCAGGGTGACAATGGCAGTCATTGACAATATTCCCTCTCTACTGTCCTTATTAAACTGCAATATATTTCTGCAGCTCTTTCCTTTGTATCCCTTCACCCCATCTTCACCCGCATACTCAGGCAGCTAGCCTTTCATTCTCAAATGAAAGCATTCAGAACACAATCATTCATACATGTATTGCAACAAGTATTTAAGAAGGCTTACATTGTGATAGACATACTGGGGGGAGATGCTACTGGGGAAACTAATGGGGTAACCTTGGGGATATTGCAGAGAACAAGATGGCATAAGCATTGCCTCACGGAGAGTTTGCATTCTCACAGACACGAAAGACTGACAAAACAAACAAAAGACCACCCCCCCCCACACACACATACAAAAGAAGCCACCAAGATGTTTGATAATGACACATAGTATAAAGAAAAAAAAGAATGAAATCGTAGAGAGTAATGATAACAATTAGATTTAACAACCAATTACAAAAATGCCTGCATGTATTTATCTAGTTATAAAAATAGATATGAAAGCTGCTGTGTCAGCTTGTACTTCAATTATTTTTTTTACAGAGTCCTAAAGCAATATACAAGGGGTTTTCACAAAGTTCTTGTCAGCGTCCGCCCCCAGGCTTAGCGCTATTATGGAAGAAGCAGAAAAGATGAGACAAAAAGATAGAGTGGAAATGGACACAGGCAGCCTGAGCCTAGGTA